GGGCCGCTTGGTGCGGCCCAGTAAGGGGCTGGAGGATTGGGGCCAGAGGCGTGCCCGGTTTGGAAGGGCGGCCGCTTGGGGTTCCCCCCCTTGAGCCGTTAAGGTTATTCCTCCTTATGGGGGTTCTCGGCGGGGACCGTTCGCTGAGGTGGTGTCCCAGCCGTCCTGCCGTTGCTCCGCAGTCCTCCTCCCACCTCCCTGACAAGGCAGGGAGGAAGGGACGCAGAAAAATGTTCTCTTGCGCTAATGGGGGTAATTAAAGGTTGCGTTACTGTTTACAGCAAAAGCCTCCTAGCTCGTTAGTTAAGGAACAGTACTGACTCCTACGTGGATTGGCTGCGTGGGGGAATCTGCTCATATTTACCCTCGATCTGCTTGGTCGGAGAAGTGAGTAAAGGCCTGAAGTGGTAGAACCGACTGAAGAGCCGACTAACGGATACGTTCAGACAGATCGCTGTTGAAATTGGAGAGCCCTCTTTGCGTCTGGATTTCTCCCTCGTGACAGAATCAGTCTGGCTGTCTTTACAGACACGCTTTTGTTCTAAAGAAGGCACCGCTGAGGGTTTAAAGCAGGGCAGGACATCGGCGACAAACGTGCAGACCTAGGGCATATTTCCACTGTTACCACAGGTCTCGACTGCGAGACGTGGTGCAGTTGCTTCTGCTCTTGATTGACTCGCTCGTAATGGACGGCAGTAAACACCTGCGACGAGTTAGGAGGAACCGTGGTACTCGCAAGGCTTGGGCAATTGCCGGTTGATTTCTCTATGACCCTTAGCCGCTTTGTTTGAGTAGCGAGCTTCTTATATATCACCGTGACCACGCTGCACAATTTTCGGTTGCTGCTGCTTGCTTGCCAGTCGGGAGTTACTTCTCTGGCCAATTCCCTGTGTAGCGTGCAGCTGCCTTCGACTTAGATTTGCTCGTGGACTGCTTCACTCAGGTGATGTAGTCAGAAGAAACTTGTCCTGCCCAGATGCAGGCTGAAGCGTGCTGTTGCGTTTTATGGCGATGGGTTGAAAGTAGAGAATGATGGCAGCCAGTGGGAGTTCCAGCTAAAGCATTTGTAGGCAAACTGAGGTTTTCTGGCACTAAAATTCTTAGAATTGGTTTGTGTCTTGATGATCTGCACAATATTTTCATTGCTTGCTATTTAATAGACATTGTAGTGTTTGCTTAGTTAAAATAACTGAGTTAGGAATCGCGGAGTAACATCGTATTTTAGGCGTTGCTCTAAGTTCAGCAGTTACTCACACCCCTGGCAATTTTAAGATACCAGCTGTAGCTGCCATGTAACTTGCTGTACAGATGGATGGCTGTGGGCTTTTTTCCATGTTGAAAGCTGAGGTGGGGTCAGAAGGAAGAAGGGTGTAGGAAGAATAACAATAGAATTAGCAGGTTATTATATTTATTTATAAAAGGTTACTCACGTGCCATAGGCACAGAACAGAGAAGGGAGAAGATACTTGTAGTCTGAAAGAGTTTTAAAGAAACAACAACAAAAAACCCAACAGCAAAATGTTTTTGAGAACAATAATTATTAGAAGAAGGATAGGTAAGAAACTTGTATTTGTACTTTTCCGGTTAAAGAACTCCAGATCTGGCCCGTTAGAGTTTCATGCTTTTCTTTGTTTGTTCCCATTTTGAGCTTATTGTCAATGGAAAGATGAGCATAGTGAGACTGGGGAGAGAAAGAAGCCGTGAATGTCTAGCTGGCTTTTTAATTGAGACAAATATTCCAAAGACCGGGCGTACTTGGCAGGGGGGGGTGGTGTTAATTTAATTTTTTTTTTTTTTTTAATTAAAACTACATTGACTGCTTGACATTCCAGGGTGGAGAAAGAAGAGCTTTGGATGAAAGGAGTTGCCGGGAAATAGAGTGTTATGGTCCAGCATTTCAGTGTCAAGGCATTTGAAGAGACATTTGTAAATTTTTCCAGTTAAAAAACAAAACAACAACAAACCCCACACATACAGATACGCACCCCAGCTGAAGGAAGGGCAGAAAGCTCTTCCGCTGTGTTTCAGCTCCGCACAAAAAGACTTGTGTTCTTTTGGGAAGTTGAGAGGGAGCCGAATTCCAGCTAGCGTTTAGCTGGAGTATTGTGTGGTGTTTGTCGTGTTGGCTGAAGATGAAATAACAGGAAGTCCGGAAAAGTTTAGCGTGCGCTCTAACAGTAACAGAACTGCAACTTGACTGCATTTCATTGCTGCGTAGGTTGTCTGAAAAACAGCTAAACCTTGTTTTGCCAGAATGCGTGTGGATATGTCCTTAGGAATCCACTGAAAGTATCTCTTCTTTAATGTGGGCTTCGTGTTTTTGTTGTAAATGGAAATTCCAGGCTTCCGTATTGATCTTACACGTTTCTGTTTGAAGGGTCCATTGGTTATGACTGCTTTTGCCTTGCCGTCCTCGTCTGGTGACCTGTGACTTTTCACCAATCACGGCGGAATCCATCAAGCCCACGCTCTGCAGGGTTGTCATCTACCTACAGAAGGAGATGTCGGGGGACACGTGTCTAACCACCACCCTTTGTCCCGCTGCAGGGCCCAAGCCCAAAACTTGCAGCTTCAAAGGGGGCAGCCTTGGTAACAAGTATGTGCGACTAAATGTCGGGGGCTCTTTATATTACACTACAGTACAAGTACTGACCAGGCACGACACAATGCTTAAGGCCATGTTCAGCGGCAGAATGGAAGTGCTCACAGACAAGGAAGGTAAGGGAATGTCTTTTGTTGTTTAGAATTTTTAAAGCAACTGGGTTTTGGTGGTGTTTTTTTAAATATCTTAAGACTACCCTCAGTTAAGGATGTAGGGGAAGATATATTCCAGAAATAACTTGGAACATTACGCAGCCGACTCCCATTGGCGCTGACAATCCTCTGTGCTTTATAAAAATGTGTTCTTTTGTTACTAAAATTAACTAGCGGAAGGACTGGTTCTCTTTCCTACGGTCACAGCTGGTATGCAGATTGTTGGTGTTGTTATGAAGACTGAACAGACAGTATGTGGGTTGTCATTTATGCGGTGACATGTAGTGGCATCATTCGAAATGCGTGTGTGGGGAGGGACATTCAGTTTTCATCTTTAAAAATCAGAATAGCCTTGCTTGCTATGTTGAAAATTTCTTTTTTTTTCCTCCTCTCGGTAGCATATTCCACTTGTGGCTTATGATGCTGTGACAGTGTTTAGCCGTCAGTCAAGGAGTATGTCACCTCCTGCTGGACACTGAATATTGGCATTATAAAAATCCATAATAAATTACAGAGAATAGAACAAGTAAGAAGACCAATATCAGCAATGGCTACAAGTGCTTTCATTTTCCTCTCTTTAGTAGTCCAGGGCAAAATGGTACCTTAGGAATGAGGGTTGTGGCACACTGTGGAGAAGAGGCTGAGAGAGGCTGGCGAGTATTTAACCTCTCGGTGTTTCTGAACACTCATATGCGAAAGCTCTTCTGCATGCCCAGATTACAGCAGTTTAAACTTGATGCACAACAGTGTGTTTACTTAAGCTGAAACAACTCCATGTGGATTTTGCATGTCATTTAAACCAAGTTCCACTCGAGTAGGCTGGGTCTTGCTGAGTGTTACGTACAACTAAATCCATTTAGTCCAGCAGTTTTGTATAAGAGCCTCAGCCTGAATGGAGGACAAGGTTCATGTTCTGATAGCTGCAGCTGGAGAATCTAGCAGTGGTTTAGTCTACTTTCCTATGTCATTTTCTGTACCTAGGTCCCAAAATAACCCTTTTTTGCCTGCCCTCCACATTATGGAACAGGGTTTGGCACTGTATTAAGTCCTCTGCCTGTGTGTGTCCTACATTGCTATTGTTTGCCAGCAAGTCAGACATCCTGTTTCCTAGTGAATGTGACTTCAGGGATGTTTTAAAATTGCAAGAACTGCCTGTCTGCTACTGTTCCTGTGCTGCATCCCCTCTCCACTCCCTCCTGATCTGTCTCTGTCCTGTTGTTTGCTCCTATTTGGAGACTAGGACAGCCTTTTTCCCATACTGGGTTTTCTGGGCTAGTCTACCTTTTAGCATCTTTGGAACACTTCTCCCTCTTTAACTCTGAACAACAGTGGAAGATGTGGTTGGAAAACTGCCAAATCCTTCTCGTTAGGCCACAGAACTTATCCCACGTCTACTTGTTGCAAACATTTGTGAATTTTCTCTTCTAGTCTTTCTTTGGCTTAGTGATAAGTTTCTCATTGCCCAGCATTACACCGTAGCAGCAGTTAATATGTTTATTCCCATACAAATACAGCACCCCACCATTTTGCTGGGAATATGACAAGCCTCTAAATAAAACAAGAAACCTACCTAACAATAAGCTTTTTTTTTAAATTTATTTTTATTTTTTCAGGTTTGAATGGCTTGGACAGTCAATTAAATAGATGTAAACTGGTGACTTCCTACAGTCGTTGGAAAGGTCCATTCCTTTAATCAGAACCTAATACAGAAAAGACGAAGCGCAGATAATAATTTTGGTCAGGCAGCCCACTGACTGATCAGTTGATCCAGTGCAGTCGGGTTCCTGCGGCAATTTTAGTGCCTTGTGATAGGCAGCCAAGTATTTTAAGCTTGTGGCTTTTCTTTTGGGGTGCCGGAAAGTAGTGAGAACATAAGGGAGGTACCAAAGGAGTGGTTCCACTGTCAGTTTCTGTTCTGTAACCAAATTCAATTTGCTCAAAGTCAGTAAAGACTTCCACTGAATGAAATGGGAAGAGTTATCACGTGCAGTTTCAGGAAACGTGGCTTATTTAACCTCTCTGAGGAGGTTTTTCTTGCCCCCTAGCGTTGAGGCGATTGAAATGATGTGATGGTTATTTTTCAGGCTGGATCCTTATAGACCGTTGTGGGAAGCACTTCGGAACAATTTTAAACTATCTCCGAGATGACACAATTGCACTTCCAAAACACAGACAGGAGATCAAAGAGTTGATGGCAGAAGCCAAGTATTATCTCATTCAGGGCTTAGTGGACATGTGCCAAGCAGCCCTGCAGGTAAGAAATAGAAGTAGCCTGTAAAGTTTTTTGTGGGTGTTTTGCTAATAAAATTTACTTAAGAGAACTCAAGAGAGTATTTCATGGCCTTGGAGATAGCGTCAGGTCTTAGATGTACAAGACAGCCTGGAAAGAAAATGACACAGCAGTCAGGTAAGTTGTAAGATCTTATCCAGTACGTTTATCAAAGCCATAGTTATCCTTGCTCTGTATGCACACCTGAGGTTCTGTGATGCTTTGAATAAGAGTCGAAATTTAGTTTATGATCTCCCTGGAAATGTTTTCAGACCCACGTGCTATCATGGCGCAGCCTTCCAGGCCACAGATGCCTGTGCTCTGAAGGCATTTAGTGCAATTAGTGAGGTGGTTGCATTATCAAGGGAGCTATTTCTTTGTAAGAAGAGAAGGATTGTCCCCTAGTTAGACTATATGAATCTAGAATGTGCAAGATGTAGATTCACGTTCCTGTCATTTCGGAGGTGTCATTTCCCTTCGTGCTTCCATTCAGTTGTCCAGCTGCCCCCCTCAGAAAGGGGATAGTAGCACTTTTCTACTTCACAGGGATGCCAGGAGAATAAATAGAGTAGAAACTGTATTCACCATTTGTCATTTAAATAGAGGGACTGGTTCTTTTCTGTTTCTATTTTTTTAATTTTATTTAGGAAATAGATAGTGAATGAGTTCCTCATGTGTGAAATGTAATAAAAGCTAGAAATTTAAAGGAAACTGATTGAATAAACATAATTATTTTGAGCATATGTTTTAACAGACCTTATGGCATTTGTCTAAATTTCCCCCAAGTTATGTCACTTCTAATTAGGTGATATTTATAGGCAGGATGGGTTTGAATCTTCGAAAACATGGTAACTTTTTTTCTAAGGTTGAATCTTAATGGAGAAAAAGACCTATATGGTAAGCACTGATTACTTTAAGGACTTTTCTTTGTATCAGTTTACCGCTACTCTTTGCAAATAGGTAAGCCCATAGTAGCTTTATTCACTTTACTAGTCCCTATGAGTTCAGCCGACAGAAATCAGCTTGTTCTGCCAACTTTTGAACAAGGTTAGCTCACATGCAGTATTTATAACTTATTAGTCTTAAGATTGTGAAATGAATGTTTCTTGCAGGACAAAACGTAATCATTAATAAATACCTCGCATACTAGGTTCAATATACTTCTTGTATCCATTGAAAGAAATGCAAAGCCACAGTGACAATTTTCCTTCTGGTTTGGAATTTAAAACCTTTCTTCTAAAAACAAAATGTTCTAAGGCTTTCCTATTAGCTATTGAGCTCTCCTTAATTCGCTACATGAGGAATCTGGAGTCACAGACTGTACTACACGCTCTTGATTGTTGCTTTTGTATCACAAGGGGCTGAAGTCTGTTCGGTGACACGCTGTTCTTGCCAAATGTTCAGTTTGTAGTGACTGATATTCTTATATACTGCAGTGTTTTGAGTTGATTAAAACTAGTGCAAACTCTTACTATCCTTTTCTTCAAAAAAGGATAGAATAATAAACCCACTTAAACCAAATATGACTTAGCTATAGCAAGGACCCTGAGCTCAAGAAGGGCATCCACCTGCATCCCAATATTTCAATTACTGCTGCCTTCTGGGGATAAGAAATCTCTCCGCTCTATTTCTGGGTTGCAGATCAAGGTAACGCTGTGTGGTTGCTATAGCAACACAGCTTTTCCTTTGCATCACAGGATTTGGGAACATGGCTGGAGGGATTGGAGAAGACAGCGGCAGCAGATGTTAGCTTTAGCATTTCCCTCTCTTGAGTTTTTTTTTCTTCTCTCTCTTCTTTCTTTAAAACAGGACAAGAAAGACTTGTATGAACCTGTCTGTAGCATCCCTATTATCACATCTCCAAAAGAAGAAGAGAGACTGATAGAATCATCAATGAAAGTAACTGTTTTTTCACAACTATCCAGTGAGAAACTGAATTTTTGCTAAATGTATTCAAACACAGAACTTACCTTTTCAGCTTTTTTCTTTCTCTCCCAATAGCCCGTTGTTAAGCTGCTTTATAATAGAAGCAACAACAAATACTCCTACACCAGGTATGTCATTTTTTTCCCCACTGTAATGGGAAAGTTTCCCTTTGACTATGGGAGTGGAGGAAGATGTGGTACGACTTGTTTTGTTTAGTTTTGTTTTTGTGTTTAGTTGGTTTGGTTTGGGGTTTTTTTGATTACAACAGTGCTCTTCTATGGATTTGAGTGCAGTTATTTTTGATTGTTTTGATTGATGTGAATTGAAATGGGGGGATGTTGTGGTTTAACCCGGCAGGCAGCCAAACACCACACAGCCGTTCACTCACTCCCCCCCAGTGGGATGGGGGAGAGAATTGGGGGTAAAAAAAAAGAGTAAAATTTGTGGGTTGAGATAAAGACAGTTTAATAGGACAGAAAAGGAAGGGAAAATAATAATAATGATAAAAGAATATACAAAATAAGTGATGCACAATG